TCCGTTCTCCCTGGACTGACCTATCCCCTCCTAACTCCCCACCTACACTCACCTTTACTGGCTCCATCCCCACCTGTTCGACCTGTTTGTTTCCTCTCCACCTATCCTCTCCTCTATCCATTTTCTATCCGCCTCCCACTCTCTCCCTATTTATTTCAGAACCCCCTTCCCCTCCCCCTTTTCTGATGAAGGGTCTAGGCCCGAAACGTCAGCCTTTCTGCTCCTATGATGCTGCTTGACCTGCTGTGTTCATCCAGCCCTGCACCTTGTTGTCCCGTTTAATTGGCATCCCAGTCACAAACTTAAAAGTTCACTCCCAGCACTGCACGGTACCATCCACAAAATGCATTGTAGGAACTCACCAAGGCACCTCTGCTACCTTGAAGGACAAGATCAGTAGGCCCACAGGAATGCCAAATTTCAAGTGTACCTTTCCAAGCCGCGCACCATCTGGACTTGGAATCACATCTTCATTCCTTTACAATCAGTCAGACTAAAACCTGGAACCGTTTCTCTAACAGCCCTGCAGGTATACCTACCACCTTCTCAATAGCAATTAGGATTCACCAATGGGCCAAGCAGCATCATAGGAGCAGAAAGGCTGACGTTTTGGGCCTAAATCCAGCCCTGCACCTTGTTGTCTCGGATTCTCCAGCATTTGCAGTTCCTACTATCTAGGATTCACCAATATTGGCTTGTCTGATCAGTGTCAGCTCTATCCCATGGAATGAATAAACAAAATTTCTTAAGAATTTTTAACAAGCAGGTTAATTTTATTTTGTTTACTTCTTACTACTTCAGTCATTGCAACGTCAGTGAAGAATATGATAAATATATACAAACTGAAATAATATGCATCGTTATAGTTTGGATTTTATTGGAAGTAAAATTGATATTATTGACACTATGATAGACACCAGGTGCCCACAGATAATGACTGGATTATTATTTCTTTCTATTAGTGCAGCTTTAATAGTATGTGTAGGATGTGTAATTGAGACAGCAAGATTATGAATAGAGGTTGAGAGATAAGTGGAGAAATGAATATTCATAAAGTATTTTATTAAGCAATAAATGTATTTAATATAAAAGTGCAGGAATGTAATTGTTGTGTAAGAGAGCCAGTTATGTAGAAAGTCAAACTATGGAGATAAATAAATATTAAAGGATGTGCCACATTGAAAGTGGATAAAGTGAAATGAAGGAAGTGAATTTAGGAGAGCACAATATCCTAAAAAGGATCTGTTGGAAAGAGATATCAGTATCAAACTACACCCATGGCTTTGAGGTTAAAGTAGGTTATGACTGTTATGTAAATTGATGTTCGTGTATCATTGGTATATTGGACAGAATATTTTACTGGAGAATTGGTTAGTTGTCAACCTTGGCATTCTAACTTTATGAACATAAAAAAATGATGGACTGAAGACCTACTGAGCCAACTGCCCTCCCAGTACACCCTATACAATTCAGTTGAAAAAAGTGGGCTAATGTTATGAAGCCAGCTGATGGTAATGCTGGACATGTTAGATCCCGGAGTGAATTCTGTCTTGATATTTTTGTTTTGGCAATTTGTTTATGATGGTGGTCAGTCACTGAACATATTCACTAGAGGCTGCCAATGTACTTTTGACAAAATAACATCAACATTTTTTACGCACAAAAGAGAAAGAACCATAAACTACTTGATATAAGAACTACTTGAATGATCTTAATACAAATATCACAAATAAAAATTCAGCCCTTCTACCTTCAGCAACAACTTTACAGATACTCAAACCTCATTAAAGGGTCAGAGATAGTAGGAACTGCAGATGCTGGAGAATCTGAGATAACAAGGTTTCGGCCCTAGATCCTTCTTCAGAAAAAGGCCCAAAATGTCAGCCTTCCTGCTCCTCTGATGCTGCTTTGCCTGCTGTGTTCATCCAGCTCTACACCTTGTTGTCTCATTAAAGGGTCACCTTGTTTCTAATTTAAAATTTCTCGGCTATACTTGTATCTTTTTTCCAATAAACATCTGCATTGACTTGACACTATTTCTTTAGTTAATGTCCCTTCATGACTGCCTGAAGCAAACTGCTAACACAGCGGACTTATTCCTTTATGTGCTCCATCCATTCATCAGTCTTTTATGATGTCCTTGTCTCTGATACCTTAAAGCCTTCTGTTTCTGGAATTTTTTTCCTACCGTCTAAGACAGTCAGGACTGCTTTTCGACCCAAATTTTTTTAGTAAACTGCTAAGCTAACAGCACCTTGTTGCCATAAACCTGTTGTCTCTGACATAAACCTGCACACTATCTAGCCTTCTGTATGATCCTCTGTCACCCTGTGTCATTGGACAACTGGCAAAAACCAGTGTTTTCCCTCGCTTTAGCCTTATTTTTTCTGAATTGTTTTCTTCAAATTGTTCTTCTTAATATTCATTTAGATGCATTTAAACGCAGTGGCATTACTGGCTGAACTAATGTAAAACAAAAATAAAACTAATTCCTTCTGGCCTGAAAATTCACATTCCCTCAAAGATCATAGAGGTCATCTTTGTATTGAACCTCAGGAGATGGGAATGATATTACAGTTTTTACTGTGGAGAAAGAAATGGAGACATAGAACTCAGGGAAATAAATGATGTTTTGAAAGCAGTTCACATTACAGAAGATGAAGCACTGCAAGTCTTAGAAAATATAAAGGTTGATAAATCTCTGGGACCTGATCTAGTGTATCCCAGGACTTTGTGGGAAATTAGGGAGGAAATTGCGGGGCTCCTTGCAAAAATATTTGTATCATTTATAAATACTGGTGAGGTGCCAAATTGCTGAAGAGTGGCTAATGATGTGCCTTTGTTTAAGAAGGGATGTAAGGAGAAGTCTGGAGTTTCATTGCAAGTTATTGCATTTTGGTAAAAAAAAAGGCAAGAATTATACAAATAAAAGTAGAGCCTTGAGTAGTGTTATAGAACAGAGTGACCTAGGTGTTCAGATACATTATTCTTGGAAATTTGCATCACCAATAGATAGGGTGTTTAAGAAGGCTAGCCTTTGTTGCTCAGACCTTTGAGTATAGGAGTTGGGACGTTACGTTGTACAGGACATTGGTGAGGCCTTTCCTAGAGTACTGTGTCCAGTTTTGGTCTCTCTGTTATAAGAAGGATATTATTAAGCTAGAGAGGATTCAGAAGGATTTACCAGAATATTGCAAGTTATAAGGAGAGGCTGGATAAGCTGAGACGTTTTTCACTAGAGCGTAGGAGGTTGAGAAGTCACCTTTACAGAGGTTTATAAAATCACGAGAGGTATAGATAAGGTGAATAGCAGGTGTCTTTTCCGTAGAGTGGAGGATTTCAAGACTAGGGAGTATATTTTTAAGGTGAAACAAGAAAGATTTAAAAAGAGCATGAGGGCAATTTTTATACACAGTGGTTCAGGGTTGGAATGGACTTCCAGAGGAAGTGGTGGATGCGGGTACATTTAAAAGACATTTAGAGAAGTACATGAATAAGAAATGTTTGGAGGGATATGGGCCAAGCATAGGTAGGTGGGACTAGTTTACTTTGGGATTATAGTTGGCAACGACTGGTTGAACTGAAGGGTTTGTTTCTGTGCGGTATGACTCTTCTAAACATAAATGACTGTTAATGCTTTATACTTTACTATTAATTTTAGACTCCAAAGTTTCAAATTATCATGTCTTAACTGGGAATAACTCAAAGATAATACTGCTCCAATGTTCTGCAAGCTATCACAGAATATATAAAATCCTAATTAGTCTACCAAGTTAAGTACACCAGTGCCTGTACCAACAGATTTAAGGACAGCTTCTTCCCACTGTTATCAGACTTATGAACGGATCCCTCATATCTTAGAGTTGATCTTTCTCTGCACCTTCTCTGGAGCTGTAACACTACATTCTGTTTTATTACTCTGATGTACTTAAGTAAGGTATGATTTATCTGGTTAGCATACAAAACAACACTTTTCACTGTGTCTCGGTAAATGTGACAATAATAAATCAAATCAAATCAAATCAAAGTACTTTGCCTGACTGGCTGCCATTTAAGAAAAAGCAAGTCATATGAAGTTACCTGGCAACAGAAAATAACTATTTATTATAATACACTCAATTTTAACAAATGGCTGAGAAAAGAAATGCTACTACTATGCAACCCTTTCAAACCCCTAGATAACTACATGTTAATTCATAATTTAAGATAGGCAAAAGACAGTTTGACGCTGATATTATGAGTGGAAAAGTAATATACGCAGGGTAAGTAAAATTTTGAAGATCAAAACTCCAAATTTCAAGCCATGGGTAAATTGTCTTACACAGTTACATCTAATTTTTTTTCAAGGATGATATGCTGTTGTTTGTAAAGCAAAAGTTGTTCTTCACTTTGATAGTTATCAGACAGAACCAGGTTTTTTCTTGTTAGAATTCCTTCTTTTCAGATTTCTTGTTTTTTTTTATCATTTATCCACACACCAAGAGTGTGGGAAAGGGAGAGATGGATGTTTTCAGCTTGAAGGCTACCTCTGATGCAATTGCATTTACGACTTTTGTAACAGCTTTCTAGCAATCTGCAGCTTAACCAATCAGAAGGCTGTCATCAGGCAGAATTTCCTTAACTCAAAAACGCTCGATACCATCAGTCTCACTGTTTCTCTCTTATTGCTTCTAAAAGCAACATTGTCTTGTACAACTAAACATATGCAGTGCTTGACTTTTGCCAAATTGCAAAATTTTTCTGGTACTTCAGCTGATTAGCAGTCAAACTTCCATTTCAGTTTATAGTACAATAATGAAAATATGTGGTCTATTATAAAACAATGTGATAAATCTTCATCACACTGAAGATCTTATACAAGTATGAAATTGTACACTAAGTTTTAACGTGAATTGTCCTGCAAGTACTCTTTAATTGACTAAAAAAGATTAAATCTCTTATTTTTGGAATTTAAGTCAGCATAGTTCACAGGGTTAAATGGGTTTATCTTCTTTTTTCAGGAAGTGACATTAAGAATGAACGGAAAATTAGAAGGCAGCATCCGAGATCAGCTGATGACTCTGGAACATTTATGGCACAAATTGGTAATTTTACTGAGTTTACTGTATAAAAATGTTATAAGCTCCAAAATTGTAACTTGACCCTTGTGCTTTATTCACAAAATTATGTTTCTTAACTTTTTAGCTAGATTGATAACTTGGATGCTATTTGAAATAAAATATTTTGAGATGAGTGGCTGCGAATGAGATCTATTGAAAGAGGTGAAGGAACATAATTTTAGCCATAAAACTGCAGATTTTCATATCTTAGTAATATTACTTTAATATAGAACCCACAATTTATTGGTTTCCTGTTAATAATTGAGGTTGAGGAAGTACTTTAAATATTGGTGAATCCACTGTTACCTTCATGGATCCAGCACTCCTGCATTTGTAAGGATTCATCATTTTTTTCAAGAAGGGAGTTGGAGACAAGAAACAAGAACTCAAATTATTGAATCTCTAGAATATCAATACTCTTTTAAGCTTCCTAAATTACATCTTCTCAAGTTTTTTTGGACAAAAGCTTTTACTAACTTTGACAGGTTTAATAAAACGTAGTTGGCCTCGCAAAACCGTGGGTCTCATTATCTTTGCATTATGTCGGGCACAGAACCCAATCATTATTTGGTGTTCTCCAGCTTCCCAATGAAATGTCCTGGCTCAGAAGCTGTACCCAGCAGGGTCGATGTGCTGTAATTTTTGAAAAAAATTAGTTCAAAAAATGTGGTTTTTGCTGTCTGGGCCAGAATTTTTGTCCATCCATAGGAGCCCTTGAGAAGATAGTGGTGAGCTATCTTCTTGAACTACTGTAGTCTATTTGGTGGACGTATGCCAACACAGCTTTGAAGGCTGAAGTTACAAGATTTTGACCTGATCGCAGTGAAGGAATTGACAATATATTTCCAAGTCAGGATGGCGAGTGGCGTGGAGGGGGACTTGCAGGGAATGGTGTTCACGGGACCAGCTACGAATGAGATCTATTGAAAGATGTGAAGCAACATAATTTTGGTAATAAAACTGCAGATTTTCACCTCTTAATAATATTACTTTCATATAGAGCCCAAAGGTTAACCTGTACTTCTAGATGATATTGTTCAAGGATTTGGAAGGTGATGTCTAAGGATCCTTGGTGAATTTCTGCAACACATCTTGTAAATGGTACAGACAGCTTCCGCTGTGCGACAGTGGTGGAGGGAATGAATGTTTCTGGATGTGATGCCAATCATGCAGGTTGCTTTGTCCTGGATGGTGTCAAGCTGTAAAAGCAAGTTACGGGAACATATTGTGAGTTGTATACACAATGATGGCTTTGTGAACAGTGAGAGAGAATTCTAGACAAATCCGCAACTGTTGTTGTGGGATCAGGAGGGCAGAGTTACAATCTTCTGATTGATCGATGGGCCATTGACTACAGCTTTCTGTGTGAATAATACTGGAGAAATATCTAGCCTGCAAAAAAGAAAACATTCATTCTCTTCTTTTCTCCCTTCTATGTCTGGAGAAAAAAAAAGTTCCATGAAATTAGCTGTTCTCCATCTTCTTTCCTCTGAGAGCTACTGTCTCGGCAAAACTTCTTTTGAAAGGAGAAAGGGGAGAAAATAAACTGTCTTCATTGGCAATGAAAAATCGACTCCTCAACCATTGAATGAAAGGCTGAAAATTGGTGTCCCCACAACCTCATGTCATCATCAAAGAGCTAGAAGGAATCAAAAGGAAATAAAAGAACTCATTGACTTTCGAGATGTGTGCTGGTGCCGGAACTATGCTTCCGACATTTTTTTCCTCAACCATAATGTTTTGTTCTTTCTTGTGTGTCTATGGCGTCTTTCCCATCCAATTCATCTTACCATGTCTGCATAATCTTTTAAAGGCCACTGGGCATGTATAGGCATCTCGCATTGCCTCTCTCTGGCAACAATGTAACTAGCAGCCACAAACCCATGCTGCGTACAGCACGTAGCTGCAATATATTTGCAATAAGTAGTTATTTACTGCTTAATGGAACAAATCTGGTGTGCATATTCTTTTAACCTGAATTAGACAGTATGGAATAATTGTACAATGCAGTGTTTTAATCAAATTCTCATGTTGCAATGACTCCTGGAATAGTAGTGCTTGATTTCTAGGACATGACCCCAGTGAGTAGTGGCAAGTACCTTGAGTGTTGTTGGACTTGTCCAGGCAAGTGGGGAGTATTCCATCACAATTCTGTCTTGTGCCCTATAGATGGTGAGCAGGATTTGGAGAGCCAGGAGATGAGTTACTCACTTCAGGATTCCTAGCCTCTGAACTGTACTTGTAGCTATAGTGTTTGTATGGTTAGTCCAGTTCAGTTTCTGGCCAGTGGTGACCCTAGGATATTACTGGAGTGGGATTCAGTGATGATATCTTTCAGTGTCAAAGGGTGATGGTTAGATTCTCTTTTGTTGGGGATATTCATTGTCTGACACTTGTGTGACGCAAATGTAATGTGCTGTGTACCAGAGATCCCAAAATATTGGAAGGTAACTGGCTGACTGCTTCTTTTAATCCTGGAGAGCCAGATGTCTTCCTTACAGTGCTCACTTTCTAGATACTTCTACTGTCTTTATCAGTGGTTTTGCAGGCACCAACCTTATGCTAAAAACTCATTTGGCCTTAATTCTGCTGCGATTCTAGTTGGTTTATTTAGCAGATGATGAACTGTTGGTGAGTTTTGAGGTCAACAAGAGGCACTTAAAAATGCGGTTTACTACGCAATAGCAATAGGTATAATTTACATTGACTAATTAGACATAATTACAAATGCAATGAATGCATATCTATTTATATCAGGATGTAGAATTAGACTTTCTCCACCTAAGACTGTGTGATATTGGCTTGTTCTTAATACAGTCTTCCACACTAACTCTTTTGCATCCATTAACTTGTACAATGCTGATGATTTTCCATGACCTTGGATTTCAATTACATTGGCAAATAGTTTAAGCAGTGCCTGTTTTGGGCACTTGTTTGCAACTCATTGAAATTCTGTCATCTGCCTTGAAGTGCTAACCCTTGTGTGAGTTGAAACAAGTCATGCTTGTTTATTTTCTTTTTGTTATGGAAAATCATTGTTTCCCCCATCACCAATCACCTGTGCTCTTTTTTCTACGAACTATTAACTACCATAAGTGATGTTTGTAATGGTTATTAGTAATTGATCTGTATTTGAATGGGTTGGTCTGTTCCAGCAATTGTGCTGGATTTCCTAAGCCTACGGGTCAAAGTTGACAGGATGTGCTGGCAACCTGGAAATTCTGCAAAGACACGTGTATGTTAAACTTGTTTAAGTTATAAAATTGTTAAAGTTCTGTGAATGAACCATTTGACTTTAGAGAGAGAGTCTCTGCTGCGCTAAGATAAACCAGACAGATAATATATACAGCAATGGCCTAGTGGTATTATCGCTGGACTGTTAATCCAGAGACCCAGATACTGTTCTGGGGACTCAGGCTCAAATCCCATCATGGCAGATGGTGGAGTTTGAATTCAATAAAAATAAAAATATCTGGAATTAACAGTCTAATGATGACCATGAATCCATTGTCGATTGTCAGGAAAAACCTATCTGGTTCACTAGTGCCCTTTAGGGAAGGAAACTGCCATCCTTACCTGGTCTGGCCTACATGTGACTCCAGACTGCCTTCGGGAAATTAGGGATGGGCAATAAATGCTGCCTTGCCAGTGATGACCTCATCCCATGAAAGAATAAAGGAAAAAAAAGCTCATTCCAGATATAACAATGTGAATTGTGTAAACAGAAGCAGCTTCCCTGTCTAATTAACTAATAGTAACCAGCAATAGAGTTCCTGAAAAGTGATTTAGTGAATAATTTGCTTCTGCAGGTTGAAGACATTATCTTCTACTCCATTTTGATTTAGCTCCCTCCCTTGTTTTCCTTACCTTTTTTTGTTTCTTGTTGTTGTGACATAGCCTTGGTGAGCAGTGTTTGTTAATTGTGATTTGATCAATGATTTAATTTTCTAAATTGGTGGTGGGACTTTCAGAACCAAACATAATGGGCTTATGAGCCATTGCACAAATTCAAATTATGGGGGCTATTGTGCGGTGGAAGTGTCCCCACTTCTGAGCCAGGAGGCCCGGGTTCATGCCCCACCAGCTCCAGAGATGTATAATATTACCTCTGAACAGGTTGATCAGAAAATATCTGCATAAATTCCAATTAAGCACAACGTTTTTTTCTCTATTAGAATTTAATGAGTTCAGTGATCTCACTACCATTATTAAAATAGATAAATATGTTGTTTTAAAATTAATTATTTGCTTAAATGTAGCACAGTTGAATGAGAGGATCGTGTGGGAGATGGGAAAATTTTCTACTAGCCCCTATCTAGCCAATACATTTAATAACACACTCCTTCCGAGATAGTTCCTGTTGACTGGAAGTAGGCAAATATAATTTAAAAATTAAAAAGGTGAGCCCAGGTCATGATAGACCTGTCAGTTTGATATTGGTCACAAGAAAGACGCTTAAGGGAATTATTTGGTGTGCATTATATGATTACTTTATTAACAAGGGATATATTCGGGACACCTAACATAGTCAAATACTAATTTATTACAAATCTAATTATAAGTTTTGAAAAAAAATTATGAAGTTGGTGGTTGAAGAAAGTCTGTAAACATTATCTGCTTGACATTAAAGCTTGGAACTAACACACAAGATCTCTAGAAGATTGAAGCCTTTGGTGTTAGTTGTAATGTGTCAATCCAGATTAAGAATTTTCTGACAGGGACTAGGAAAAATAAATCATTATAAGTGGATCAAGCTCATTTTGGGGGCTGATCACCAGTGACATTAAGACTCTAGCTTTTTACTGTTGCTTTTTTGATGGCCGGAAAGTTGTTACTCCAGCGTAGATGATTGTTCCTTATGGAGACCATATGAAATTCCTATTGCAGCAGACTTCAAAAGAATGAAGATTTCACTGGCAAATTCCTCTACACCTGGAACTCTCCAAAAGTCTCTATTTAAATTGTAGAATTTGGAGGTTTTCAAT